ATATATATATATATATATATATATATATATATATATATATATATATATCATAACTTTATTCCTTAGCTTAAAATTTTTCGAATAACCATCTTAATTTGAACAAATGTATATTTTGGATCATTATTAGCAAGGCGAATATTTGTGTTTAACTTTAATGCTTAAGTCAAAATTCTCTTCAAAAATTAATAATTGATTAATAATGAAATAAAAGCATTTATACTATTTGCAAATCTTCTGGTATCCTTCATCTGAATTGACATTCTTTGTTAGCTCTGAAGAAGCCGACAAGATGATTGGCGAAACACTAGCAAGTTTGATTTATCAACAACCGGCGCAGGAAGAAACCAGAACATTTGTAAATAGTACTTCCTTGAAAAACTAAAAGGATTTATGTCAAACAGTCTTCACTTAGTTGTTAATTCTTGGCAGTTAGTTTTTCCTGTTGTATGTAATTATACAACTTGTAGTAAATGTGGAAAAACGCCATATGTTGCATAGTTATTACAATTCACTCAGAAATTAAGTGGAAAATGGATATGGTCGCCGATATCATCCTAATGAGAAATATAATATTATAAATAGATTAAGATTTTAGATCTCAAATTGTTTTTTTATTTTGTTAATAACCTTAGGTTAATAATATATCTCGCCGTTCAATCAGACATTGAGAAAATGAACTGTAAATTACGAGAATGTGAACATCACACAATAAACCAGTATGATCCCTGCAAAATTCATTCACAAGTCAAAAACTTAGGCCTGGTCACCTCGGACGGCAGAATTCTGTAATTGGCTCCGAAATCAAATTTAAGCACATGATGATTTTTTCAAAAAGGGACCGACGAATGTAAGTTTATTTAATCCGCGAAACGTCAGTAATTTCGACTAAGCAAAAACCGACGCAGGAGGAATCCAGAAGTTTGGTAAAAAGTATTAGAGTAGCCTGTGAAAGTTTCTTTGAAAAAAAATATTAACGCTTTTTTGAATGATTTTATTATGGGGAGGGATGTTATAGCATAACGAAAGTTACCGAAGTGTGTCTAGGAACGTAATATCTTAAACAATGACGGGTGTCTCGATTATGAATATCATTTCCTCTGCAAAGTTTATCAGCACGGCAGGGTCTTATTGGAGTTTAGTAAAAAAACAAAAGTGGCTAACTGAACTTTATATCGGTCCTCCAGCTTAAGCCAACCCGAATCAGGCATTGCGAAATATATGGTCATACTTTCAGAGATTGTAACTAAAACGAACACAAGCTTTCTGAAGTCGTTGTAGTCTCTACTTATCTCGATTAAGTATAGCTGGCGAATAGACAATACTGCAAAATGCGAAATGGGATAAAACTAACATCACAAAGTCTAAGTTTGACTTATTTACTGAGAAAATGTTTATGAATATGCAATGTCCTCAACTTATAGAAGGAGTTTTGTAACGCCAAACCAACATGCTTAGAAAACCGCAGGTCGAACTATAATCCTAAATTTTTACACCCGTCTGAAGAAGGACAGATAATCACATCATTTAGTGTAATCTTAAAAGAGGCGTTTTTTACAATATCTTCCCTTTTATTTCCAAATAATAACATCTGCGTTTTGTTAGAATTCAATAAGACGTTGTGAGCCGTAGATCGAAATTTATTTTAGTAGCGGCAATTAAAGCTTCACTAGCACAAAAGATAAATATAACTGTATAAAAGTAGAGGAGTCAGCTGTATTAACTGAGAACAGAATGGGAACACCCTTCTCCAAAGCAATGACCAAGAAAATTAAAAAAAAAAGAATTTCCGAATTCCGAAGAATTCCAGTTTAGCTAGGAGAAGATGTCGAACGCTTTGCTATAGTCCAAGAGTATGAGACAAGAGTTTAATTTAGAATCCGCTGCTCTCAATAAGTCATCAGTAAAATGACGCAAGGCAGAAGTAGTGCTGGGAAGAGGTCGAAAAGCAAATTGAATGTCTGCGAGAATTTTGTTGTCGCATAGGAACTGACGAAGTTGTTTAGCTGCAATTTTTTCAATAACTTTGAGATGGTTGGCAACAAACTGATTGGTCTAAAATCGTTAATTCTACTTGGACACTCTTTCTTTGGAACGGAATAATAAACAGCTTAAATACATAATTTCCAAATCATGGACCTACACAATGACCGGCTAGAACTCCAGGCATAAATCCACTAGATTACTTCTTATGAGGGTATTTAAAACATCGTTTATATGGTAATACTCCGAATGGCATAAATATTAAAAAATACAATATTAAAATTGCCAGGCCTATCGCAAAATGCATTGCAGATGGTGTTTCATTTGAACATCTTTTATGATTCTAGGCTGTATTATTACCTACTTTACAGGATCAAAGAAATTTCATTTTTTTATAAAAATTTAATAAGTTTATTACGTTCTCAGTTGATTTGTGGTAATAAATTATTTTTTATATTGAACTGAGGTGGCTTTTACTTGATGAAAATCCATTTATCAAAATAAATAAGAACTAAAAGTTCAGATTTTCACATAAAGATGTCGAAACAATTGTGAAAATCTGAACTTTTAGTTCTTATTTATTTTTATTTGTTATATTTATTTCAAAAATGTCTTTTTCCCCACTTCAGTGATTAGTTACCAAAGTAGAATATAATTAAAATTCTAGTATTTAACGAATACGCCAGACGGTTTGACATAATGCTTTTGTTTCATGGGCGCCTTAGTTTTTGTGTAAATTTGGCTTTATTATCACTTTTGAAGCGTTATTTTGTAGTTAATCATTAAGTGTGATTTTTCCAGAATGGCAAGATCATTCAAAAGATGAAATAAAAAATGCTGGTCTATAGTTAAAAAATTTAAGTTGATGATGGGCACACTCAATTTGCATGGAAGAAAAAGTTGAAATGTGAAAATTTCATGTATTTTCCTTTTTTTTTAATTAAGGCCAAGAAAAAATTCAAATGGAATTACTGATTTCCCGCATATCTCAGAAACTAATCAGAATGTTCTCGGATTTTAAAACCGTTTTAAATTAAGCATCAAAATGCGCAACTTTTCCTGTATTTAACTGACTTCCTATCTTTTAGTATTAGCGCAATCCCAATAGTCCCCCCTCGAGTTTGGACGGTCGAATTTGGAGTGTTTTGATTAGGCAAAACCTATTTCTAGATAGAGCAAAATAGACTTATGTCAACGGTTCGATTTTTAACAAACATTTAATAGTTAAAACCGCATGGCGATGTCTTCTCTACCAAACAATTTATTCATATTTGAAAATTGCCCCATCTTTCAGATTCTCATAAACCATTATTAAGGCATATTTTAAGGCAAGTGCAGCGTCGTCCTGAGACGTTTTTTTTAGTTCTCCGTTTTCTCATGAATGCAACTTTCTTATTTTATATTGCAATTATAGTTGGCTATGGTCTTAAGAAAAATGAAAGTGTCGACCCCTTGTCAGCCTTGCTTGGTAGCGGTGCGTAATATGTTCAAAAAGACGTTACATGTAAACTTTCAAAATAATATAACAAATACAGGAACTTTAAAACAGATAAGACCAATTTAAAATAACTTAAGTGAAAAACAAAAAATCCTAAGAACCATTAAACATTATAATTTTAGATATTATTTTTAATATGTAATATTAATATTTTTGATTATTTAGAAAACAAAACTATAGTTAACTAACAAACAAAACACAATAAATAACAGAATACAAAACATTAAAATTTAATTTGAATGAAATATTTTAAAGTAAATTTTCAAATTGGGCGCCGTTCTCTTCGATACACTGAACGCAGTCTTTTCGTACTGAATGGCAACAATCCACTAACTCTATAGAATTGGTATTAGCAGTGGCTACCTCTAACTCTGCTTTGATTTGGAAAATTCTATCTTTAAATATAAGATGTTTTAATCTCCCCCATAAAAATAATCTAGAGAAGTTAGATCACACGTTCTCGCAGCACACCTAATCGGGGGCCTTTAGTTATAATCACTTACAATCCGTGCGTTGTGAACGGGGCAACCATATTGTTCATAACAAATGCTCCTTAAAAGAATTAAAGGCAAGTCTTAGAAAAACGGAAAAACATATGTTCGCAAAATACTTATATAGCCATCCCCTGTCAGATTTTCATTAAAAAAATAAGGTCCCAGAGATCTACCTCGGAAAAATCCTACCAATACATTGAATCCAAAGCGACCTTGCAGATTTTGATACACTACAGCAGAAGGATTTTTTGTGCTCCAGCGACAAGAATTATATCTACTAAATGTTCCGGAGCAGATAAACCAGTTGCAAAATTGTATTCTTGTATAGCGGCATCCCTTTGATGTAATTGGTGGACTTTCCTGCTACGATTTGGCTTGGATTTATGGTTTTGTTTAAGTAGTCAATACTTTAGTTTTTCCATTTGTTGTGGCCCGTGAGGACTTGGATTTTCAAATACTTTTCCAATTATATGCAATTCGCGGATATCCTGTGCTTTATTTAATTAGTTTTGATTTTGCCTTGACTTTTTCAAACTTCTGCATATATGTATTGAAATAAAGTTTCATCTTTCATATCTAACTGTAATACACTAATTTAAATTGCAAATAAAAAGGTTTGTATATTTTTATATTCTTTCAAGTTTTTTTTTATTACTTTAATGTGGAAACTCTTATTGAATCACTTTTTATATGGCCAGTTTTTAAGAGTGCCAAAAAGTGAAAAACGCTTCTTCAAAGATCCAGCGCTTCACATGTAAGTTGATTTTGCTCTATATAGTTCAGAAATAGGTTTCTCCAGTTAAAACACTTCAATAACGAGCACCCTATATAGTTGTCAAAAAATGAACATTGCGATCTTGAGACACCCATTATAACAAACTGCTGGACATGTAATAAACTATCGAAAAGTCTATCTCGCCGGTCTTACGCCACTGGCCATTTTATAAACGAAGTCAGCTCAATTTAGTTACAGATCCGTTTACTGAGGACTGTATTTCTATTGCGTCGACAATGTTTCCTTGTTGTAGCCAACAAACCTTTGCTGAGCAAGCAGTTTCCTAACGTTTCGTCCGAAAGCGACCTTCAGCGGTACCGAACGGCGCAGCAGTCGAACGATCGCAGAAGTCCGAGCCTCTCGAACCCCACCGACTCACTGAAGCAAAAGGTTTGTCCCCAAGTACGTGTCTTTCGATTATCCCTTTGTACCCTGTCGCCAGACTCGAAAATTGTTATCTGTTATCGCCGAAGGTTTGTTTTCACATTAGTTTCATCGTTTCTTAATAGTTCGGCAACTGTTGCGGACCGTTTGAGGATAATCTTTTGAGGTTTTGAGGTTATATTGTAAATGTGTCAATCGCGATCGATTCGGTCACTTTGATTCAATCACTTCGTAGGATCGAACGACCGAATCCCGTTTGTTCGTAACAAATCGATCACCTTGTTCGCTCTCGCTGCCGCCCTGACCGGTCTGAAGTGACCGAATACAGGACGAACGATCTACCGACCTTACCAAAAAAAATCGAATTCCCCTTGCGGAATACGATTGATTTGAATGGTTTAAGATTTAAATGAATGACTGAGACAGGCCACGGAAAAGGAATAGGAGTATTGTTATGATTATTCTATAGTATTGAGTTGCAACATCGATTGGTAGGTTTGCTTATATGAATTGAATATTAAATGAAATATCTATTTCCACACATGTATTTAATTTAAACGAATTAATGTATTACTGGTACAACCCAATACGTAGCACATATTATGATAAAATCATGATGCAATAAAGAGCAGAGCACAGCTAAATATTATATTAACAAAAACAGCAAACAGAACATATAGACACAACAATAATTTTAATTCAAATGAATCTGAATCGGTCGTTCGGACTGTTCGGATTCAGTGATTATTGCCGCTTATGTTGGCAACAAAAAGAATTGAAATGAACGATTGATGGAAATGATTCGGTCCTTTTCGAATCGGTCACTGATTGATTCGGTCCTCGTAAAATGAACGATTGGCACAACACTAATTGTAAATATTTTCATTGCAGAAGAATCGATTACATGAAAAAATTGCAGTTTTCTAGATTGTCTTCAGCAACTGCTGATGAGTTTATTTGTCCTAGTTCTAAGGCTCTTTAAAAATTTTTTCCCGTGTGCAGTTAATATTTTTCGTCCGGTCTCTCGAATGTATTAGTAGGCACATATGTATGGAATGCTGTAAACTTCTGGTATCTTAAATGGGATATTCTTATTCTATTTATAAACAAGTCTTTCCTACAGGTACGCACAAAATGTCACAAAAAAAACGATACTTAGTCAGCGGACTAGCTTAAATTATTTTTTACTAGCAAAATCAAATTAAGAACTAATTACAGCTTTTTATTACAGTGTGTTAATTGATATACCGTCTTAAGTTACTTTTAAATGCCTCAAAGCTGAGAGCAAATAGGTCATGATCCGGAAAAGCGTTCTCTACTCTGTTCATAGACATAAGAAAGTGACCAATTGCTTTTGAATGGGATTATCCAATGGTGGTCATTAACATACAATGCAACAAGATTATTACCTAAAATTTCGGAATTCAAATTCAGGTAAAATTGTGGTCCGTAATAGAAAATAATTTTATACCTCCCTGTGTTTAATGTTCTTTGGTTTGGTATACTACTTAGTTTAAATTTATTAGTCATTATTCTTATTTCGTGTGTAATACAGCGTGTGTTGAATCCTGTGCGAATTATGCAAAATACGTGCGAGTCTAGTGTATCTCAGAAGATGCTCCCGCCCAAATGTGGAAAACACTATTCTATTGAGACTAATAAACAATGTTTATTTGACTCTCATTGAACGTGGTGCCAGCAAGCAAGCATCTTTAGAAGAAACGGTCACATTGACGAAAATTCCAACTGTATGGAAAATTGTGAATAATCCCATTTCAGCGAAAAAAAAGAAGCGATGCTGACATTTTCTCGAGTGTAGATGAAAGCGATCAAGATATAATACGGCATAAAATTTACACAGTAGACATTTGACTAAAACCCCTTCCACTGTATATTTAATTCCATTGAACATGTTTGGCACCAACTGAAATCTGCCATTCGTCGTAACAATGTTTTTTCCCGTGTTAACTCCAATGTTCTCAAACTTATAGAAACCGAAGTTTTTAACGTCCCAACCCCAACAAAGTTGGTCAAATTCGGTGAAACATATAGAAAAAGCAGAACAATCTTATATCCATATTGCAAATAATATAGAACAAATAATAATTAGAACAGGCGATGATAGCGATAGTGATACTGATATATTATGTGAATAATTTTAAGTAATTTAAGTAGGCAATTAAAATCATTTGTAATTTTATTTTAGATTTAAACATAAATAAATACATAAATAAATAAATATTGTTTAGTAGCTTTCCTAACAAAACCCCAAATAATTAAATTCTAAGCAAAGTACAGACGTGTTCGGCCATATTTAATTCTTACAGCTTGCCCGGGTCTTTCCTTAATTCGTATCAGTTAGTCACTTTCTTATATCTATGAACAGACTTTACACCTAACAATTTGAGAGGTAGAAGAGTAGTTTGAGTGATATCTAGATATAGCGACTGTTTGTCTGTTTCGAAGAATGAAGGCATTATAGTTAAAACATATTTTTTCCAAAAAGAAAGGAGATTCTATCAAATTATGTACGACAATTTATAGCATTTACAAATTTTCATTCTACACAGTCCAGCCGTTCAATATATTTAAAATGCATTGGATTCCAGATTGCCGTAGCATATTCGAACAAGGGTCTGTAAAAAAGGGGTCTGTTAGAAAGTATTATTAATGATTTTTTATTATTAAACCCTTTAGTCACCCGTAAAATAAATCCAATAAATCTTTAGAGCTTTTTGAACAATATTTTCTACGTGCATACCAGAAGGGAGTGCCCGAACCCAATGTAAGACCCAGGTTCTTTACGCAAAGTTCAGTTTGTAGTTACCTACCTAGAGATCACTTTTAATTTTGCAGTTGTGGTAATGGAAAATCAGAAGTAACATTCTGTCGCACACAGACCAATGTCCTAATGCATTTTCACATCATTATCCGGCCCAAAAATCAATATCTAATTAATTATTCCCTCCAATAGTTGCCACATTAGAGATATTAAACATTAAACATCACTGATTACCTATCAAATTTGTTAAGAAATATAACATTAAAGCTTAAAAATTTACCACTTTTCAAAAAATCTCTCTGAAAGAGCCTTAACACAATCATGGGGGGATATCAAATCATTCGATAAAACTAAAATTCTTACATGTAATCTCTAAGAAGCAAACAATCAGTATATAACAGGTACAGACTAGAACGCGAACCAGTTTCAGTCAAGCTCTGAAGAAGCCAACAGGATGATTGGAGAAATGTCAGCAAGTTCGATTTATCAGCACGCAGAAAATTTTAGTTGACTCGCGGCTTAACGAAAATATCTGCAACTATACAAAATCGAAGGCAACCCAATCTTCAACTTTTAAGAAATCTTTTGTGTGAAATAGGATCATTTTGCTCGTAAATCAATATTAAAAATTGTTGAGCCCAATCACGATATTTTTATGTCTAGTATTTACAATTTGAGGATTACCCTTTATTTCTGAATGCGCACAAAATTCAATGCATGCACTTTAATAGTTCCTAGAAGAAAGGCGATTTGATGTGAAAACAAATCTCGATAGAACAAATTAATCGATTTGCCTTCACGGCCTCCTGGATTATAGGCATTCGTGTCGCCATCTACCGCCCCCGTGCTATACCACATCGCATATTAATCGCTTCCTCTTTAGCCCGTTAGATGACGCCAGAGCGGGCGAATTCGATCGGCTAGCGTGGGAATAGATTCGTTATCGGTGCTGCTAATGCGGAAATTGGCAACCAGTGGCGGCTCGCGCCTTGTTGTTTTGCGACTTTGATAGATTGTTAGAAGTTCGAGAAGATATTGCCAAGTTTTAGTGTAGTTGAAACGACGTTTCAACAGTGTGTCTAAGGTGATTAACTAACGTTTCTCTTAATTACAGTTCTCGCTGCAAGACAATGGATCCGCCAAATATTTTCAGAGCGGGATCCACACGCCGAAAATGGGCGAGAAAGTGGCGCAGGTGAGTGATTTTTTCGTATTTTCCGAGTCGTTTATTTCGTCGCCTAAACCTCTTGGTCTACGCCACTGGGTTTTCGGTTGCGTCCTTGGACGCGGAGTTGTCTCTATGGATTTTCCGGGTTTTAACGTTAACGTCGGTGCCAAGTTATCAGCGCGTACAAGCCTGATTACCATTTAAGATTTGGGGAAATCGAGACGGTCGCCATAGCAGCGCGAAGCGCATTCGTAATGGGCATTTAATTTGGAAAATATTAATAATAAAAAATAATAAACTCTCATTTATTTTACGATCAAAAGTTCGGCTTGTTGAGAAAATGAATTCACGATAGAAAAACGTTAGATCTGGTATACAGGGTGCTAATAAAATGGGAAAATATGTAAACGCTTCAAGAGAGAAGCATCATTATTTATTGCTTAAAAAAATATATAAAACAAAGTTTTAGCAGATGTAGCATTAATACTAAACACAAATTTCCATAAATTGAACTGAGGTGTTTTTTAATTGATGAAAATCAACTCATTTTACAAAATAAATAAGAACTAAAAGTTCAGATTTTCACGAAATTATATATTTTGACATGGCAATTGTTTCAACAACACCGTGTAGACACGGTGTTGTTGGATAATAAATTTCACCAAAATGAACATTTAACCATTGTCTAAGCAATGCCGCGCAATGAGCAGGACAGTCGGACTAAGTTGCACTGAGAATACAGTGTGGAGTCTTCTAGAGCCCATTGTTGCCAGCTGTAGTATCGCAGGTGTCGGAGAAGAATTAGTTCCGGCCTCGAACAAATTCCGCCGCATTCATTTCGTCATTTCGTTTATTAAAATTAAGATAACTTAATTTTTGCATGTGCATGCAAATCCTGCGATTAGCAGAACGAAACGTGGACCTCTTTTTGAATGTGCTTCAAGGCCTATTGTTAACCTTTTAAAAAAGCGTCTCTGTTATGGTCACAGCAAGCATAATTAATTTTATAACATTGACCCAAATTGATATAGATATCTAACATTACACTTGCGGGATCACGCTTCAGATATTTAAAACCTACATCTTTCATTAATCTACGGAAAGTACATTTACAAGATAATTTTATAAGTTGCAATCAAAGTTGGCGGAATGTTAAAAAAATCGGTATAACAATTTGTGTCAGCTTACACATACAACCTTCATCATATGTATAATCGCGACAATTTGACAGCCCCCTTTTGCCTTGGAGCAGGACTTTTAAATTTGTTTTATTCCGCTTCTGTTTTGATATTAAAAATGGTTGTTTCACTAATGCAGTTCAGTTTTGAAGTGCCACTCAGAGCTGCACTTAGAATCCACTTTTCATCATTCACTAAAAAGCAAATGTAAAAAATGGTAATTTTCGCCCTGGTATGTTAATATTGAGAAATCGAACATAAAATAAAAGAAAATTTTCCAATTTGAGGGTATTATAAGTCATTTTCTGTCATTAATAAGTCATTAAACTCATTGTCAAACTAATCAAAACATAATTTACCCACTTCTGGCTCTATAGTTTTAAGATATGGTAAGATAAAATTTTGCAAAACCTTCAAATACACCAAACGTCTCTCTTATGTTAATTGTGTTAAAGATAATTTTGGGTTATTATTTAATAAGAAGCTGCGTCATTTTCATAGTATTTTTTGTATATGGATATTTCTTCCAGGGCTTTACTTTAAAGATGAGTCCTCAAGACCTTCCCAGCCGAGACAAAATTGCCAAAAACAGTTTTCTTAGGCTATTTATATATATTTTATGAGAACATGACACTGCTGCAATTAATCGCTCATTGTCTGTCTCACTTTAAAATATACGCGTTCTAGTCGCACTGCTCGTAACTGTGACTTTAATATTAACAATGAAAGAAGTTATTGTTGACAAAAAAACTGTATTTCCGAAGGTCCATTCAACCAAGAAAACGTCACTACATCAGTTCCCCTAGCTGTACTTACTCATCTAACCTATGAGTTGACTTATAAATTAGGTACCAAATTATATTATTTATAATAGAAAATAACAATAAATTTATGAAATTCACAGATTTATATAAAGTGAACATCTTATACAAAGGCACACGATTGTCATTGGCGAAGAATAAATAAAGGCTAGTTATGTAAATAGCAAAGTAATATATGAATATTATTATGGAAGCAACATGGAGATTTTAAATTCACATCTTTGATTTCATTCGGCTTCAATCCATTCAAATACAAACAATTAAACTATGCGTGGTAAAAAATGTTTTCTATACTACAGTCGTCACCTCTTGATTTGCTTTGGTTTTTTTTTCGTATTTTACATACTCTGTAATTTTGAATCGTTTTTTTAATCGAGACAAATATCCCAAAATAACATTGGCACAAGAACAAGAAATTAAACATATAACTAATTTTTCAAAAATCGGTAAATTGGAATTATTGGATACAAAAATAATCAGAGCGGAAAGCGACATACAGTGGAATGCCTCAGTACGACCATCGACGACGAATCATGGTCGTTTAGGAGGTATGGTCATTGATTTACAAAATATAAAATATTATATTGTAATACGTCAACATGCATACGAGTCATTACAGTAACTTTTTAAAAGAGTCGGAGGTCAATGATTGTTTCTTACATTTATTTTTAAAAAATTCCGATTCATATTTTAGTAACAGTTAGATTTTCCACAGATTGCTTTAAATAGACTATAGTGCAAACTATTAAATCATTCTAACCATCCATTTGAACCTTTGAAGTCACTTAGTCCGAGGTTCTGTACAACTTCAATTGCTATTGCTTGAATTACGGGCCGTGATATTGGTAATTGCGTTTTTCGAGCCTAACCAAACCAATTAAAACCACCCTGGCCACAGCAAGTCCATCGGTTTTCGAACATTTTCTTTTTTTTTATTACAATTTCGACCTCCTTGTATCATCGGGTTCAAAACATCCTTCGACGTCTTCCCATTTCCAATCGCCATTGATCTCTATCTCTCCTCTATCCCCCTCTCTTTGATCTACCTGTTACTGCCCTCTAGCCAACTCCTTCTTGGCCTTCCTCTTTTTCTTTTCTTAGTAGGCGTCCAGGTAAGTAGTTGCTATTCTTCCATTCTTTGGACGTGTCCGTATCACCTTAGTTGTTTTGTTAGTTGTCCTTTGGTAATTTTTGAAGTTTTTATTTCCCTGCTTTTAGAAATCCATCTCCATAACTATATATAACAATGCCTTTTATTAAAGTGTTATTAATTAGCTGTTTGTTTCGTCTTGTAATTTTTTGGTTCCATAAGACGCTGTTTAGCATTGCCGTAGCCTTCTTGGCTCTGGTATTGCTGCCGGTGCTGGCATCATTGAATGTACCGCTATCTGAGATATTCATTCCCAACGATTTATAAGTTGAGCACGATTTGAAGGTGTATCCGTCCTCCAAATGAAAGTATTGATGAATACCGCCAACACACTCTGTTTTTTGTATGTTTACCAATTAATTTGCGTTATAACGCAGAATGTCCACATTCGTACATATTTCTTTCCATATCTTTAGTAATTGTTAGAGTTATATCTTAAACAAGGTGAGACTTATGTTTGTTCGTTTAAATGCCTCCCGTAGTTTTGTTAGTGGTATGCCTTGTCGTATGCCTGCTTTAGATACACCTACAGCAGGTGCACCTCCTGGTCGAAAGCCGACATCTTCTCAACGTGAATGCTCTATTTTAGCCTTCAATATTTCTCCGTAAATTGTGTTGGTTTTCGCAATTCTTCCATTCTTGTTTGCTGTTTATGCATTTTTGATTGCTTGTTTGTTTCATATTTGATCAGTTCTGGGGATATTAAAAGGTCCCGGTGTTTTCTTGCTCTCTAGATATCTACTTCCCTACACTAATTATGACCGGTGATACCTCCAAAAACTGCCCTCTACTTTGTTTGAAGAGATTACTGAAATACTCATTCTATTTCTTTGCGGTGACACTAGTCGTCCATTTTGTTCTGACGGAACGATTTCAGAAGTTTCCAGCTTTTACTGCCTTCTGTTCCTCCCAGATAAGCATTTATTTTACTACAGTTTTATTCCATTGACTCGTTTTTCTTCTGTGTTATTTTCCTCCCTCACTCGATCCTGTCCTCCTTCGAATCCATTCTTGAATTGTTGGATAAATCGCATTGGTACTGCTGGCTTTCATCTTCATCTTGTTGAATTTTCTCATCCAACTAATTGGATTTATAGAGTTTTGCTCAATGCAAACGCGTCTTCTGCTGTTTGCTACAGACAAAGACAAACTTCTAACTTCTCCTTTGTTTTGTAGCAACACGGTAAGTTGAGTCTTCCCTTCATTAAACTTTTCGGGCAATTTCCTAGTCCCCATACCACTTTCTTCATTTTCATTTATTACATCAATTTTTTTCTTTAAGTGTAAAACGATTTCTATTTGCAGCCATACTCGAGAATTTAATGTTAACCGACAATGATTCAAAATGCGAATACAGCTTAAAATAGGTAAAGCTTAAAGCCTATAACGGATAATGTATTTTTAGTATAGCAAGTGTCGCTCATTAAAAAGGAATAATGCCAATTAAATCTGAGCTTCTATATCTAAGCTGAATCACTTTTGCTCCTGCGAATACAACAATCGTATTCTTGAAGACCTAGGAGCGTGTACAGCGTTGCCGCTTATGCAAATGTCAATTTGAATGTAAAGCAATGCGTTTCAAAGTTCCATATCCAAACCATGCATTGTGGTTTGGTTTTATCCATCATTCGTATCAATTTCGTTTAATTTTTGCGGATTAGTTTAAACACTAACAAGTCGCCATGGTAATACGCAAATAAGCTGCGGAAAGATATATCCGCAAAACAGGTAGAAAGTGGACAAGACTAGGTAGCTTTCTGCTAAATAGAATGAAATTCTAGTGGATTTTGTATGCAGAAATGGAAAGGAAATAATTTATTTAACTCAATCTTTTTTTCTTCGGTTTTTGGTTGATTAATTGACATTGTCATATGTCAG